AGAGTTCACCTATTTCAAGTTAATACCTTACGGCTACATCAACTAGCTCCTGTTCTTTCCCTCTGAGCGAGGATATATTCCAATTTCCGTCTGTAGGCTATCACCATCCTTATCTGACGTGCCATAATGGCATGGCGCTGTGTGCCTCTTCCGTTCAGAACGGGTTGGGGCTCCGTTTCTGACGAATCTTTATCGCCATTTTGTTGATCTTAGGCACCCGTTGCCTGCTGCAACACCCTGGCTGCCAGAAGGCTGTAAGCAGGTTCTGATCGCCGACTTTTCGCGCCCTGCCTCAGTTCCCTAACATCCTGCGCTGTCTTCGGTAACCCGGCTGACGACCGAGCGGGGGTAATGTTCGATGACGGCAATATTATGAGGGACAGGTGAGTAAGTTTTACGGAAACCTCAGCCGGTCTCCAACCTTCCTCCTTTTGCATCAGAGTTTATGCCCTAGAAGGAACTTCGGAAATCAATAATAGCCACCTTGAAGAAGGAGGCCGATGAGCCGAAACGTCGTTACTTGTTAATGATTGGGCTGATCAAATTATTTGCGTTGCGCATGAGTAGACAATGTTTTATGTAGTTTTTAATGCCTCGTTAGCATTTAAACATGTGGCAAGGTAATTTTCTCTTGGACAGTCATATGGAAGGCATGGAGGTCACAGATAAAAGATATTAAGCAAACGAAGTGAGGAACAATATCAATATGATAAAGATGAACATTCCGCTTTCCACTATAATAGTGCAGTTCAAATGCCTGTACGTGGATGGGGTATCTTACTCTTCGACGTTATGTACTTTTTAAGGCATGATGAATTTGGTTAACCAACACTTACCAGTACTTTTTCATTATACAGTTCTCAGTTTCATGAAAAACTGGGTCATGGTTGAGTAGAATGCATTAGAATTTATCTTATCTTTATCACAATGTTCAACTCATTGCCTATTATGTAAGACCCGGAATAGAAGCTGAGTTATGGATAACACGTAGATGACATCCTCGCTGCGCTTCCAGTCTATGTAATATTGGCCTAGCGCACTCAGCACATTTTGGACAGGTGTGCAATTATTGTCTGTCCTCAGTAGTGATGTTCATCAATCAATAAAACCGCTTTCGCCGTCATTGGCTGTTGACATTGTTTCGCTAACGCCGTGTCATGCTGTGAACAAGTCAGTCGCGGGATGGACCATTGAAGGAAGAATTTCTTTGAAATGAAGGTAAGAATGTTTCAGAAGTATATCTTAAAATAACGAATGACTCATTCAAGATGATATTTCACGGTGTCTTGCACCGCTCTCGTGCTCACAGTCAGATAGGGGGCTTCATGTTACCTAGCATCAGCAGTGCCAGATGCATCTTGCGTCGTTTTGTCAGCCAGAGCCATCTCACGCACGATGTTT